TGCTAAACCAAGCCTTGGAAAATAAGGACATCCTAATGATAAAGAATCACCTCAGAAACCCATGCATTGGCTTCAATAATCTGGAAGAGGAAAACTTGCAACGGTAAAAGTTCATTTTTTGTTGTCTGGATGAGACTAGGCAACTTCTACAGAAGGATAAGTAGGCATTTCACTGGGGAAGGGGAGTGTGGGTTTTCCTGTGCTGTGCTTATGAAGATGAAAGGGCTGTAAAATACTGTTATATGTTATTAGGGGAAAACATAAATACCAAACTAATTGTGTATTTGTAACTATAAGCAGTCTCACAACCTCAAATATTTGAGAGCAAAAGGATATGCAAGGTGGAGGGGAGACATTGTCAGAAAGCAGATGTTAAGATCTGACAAAAAAAACTTTGAGGACACTAAAACATAAGCCAATAGTAGTTGGAGACTGTCAATCAGTAACCTCTTCGCAATACTGACGGAGGATCTTTGGAATGAGATAATGTGTTGAGTGTCTTAAGGTCAAGTAGGCCCCTTAGACACTGCCTAACCCCCTTTTTCAGCCCAAGATTTGCAAAGGCCTGAAACATAGCGAAGTCTTGCTTGCTAAAAAGCTGAGTACAATGCTGTGGCACGCGTGCATGTTCAAAGTTAAGTTATGGCCTTCACTGAGCTGCTAGCTGCTTGCACTGCCACATGTCTGACTTGTCACAGCCATGAGCTGCTGCTGTGCTCTTCAGCTTATCTGCAAAATTAAAAAAAAAAAAAAAAAAGGCAAATATACAACTTGTGTGAGACCAGAGGCCCCAGCCTGTGGGGAAGAGGGCGGGTTCTCACCACTTGGTCGTGGGTAGTGGAAATCTGAGTGCTGCTGGAATGTATCACTAGACAGAAAGGACAGCAGTGACCTGATCACTGAAGGTCTTCACCAGGCTGTGAGACAACATGAATCTGAGCCCTTACTAGGTTAGGTTCCTTGAAGCTGGCGGGAAAGCAGTCACGACAGGAGAGAGAGGGAGAAAAAAAAAAAGTAACTTGTGTGTGAGTTGAGAGAAGCTTCCTCTCTGTCAAGAGGCAGGAAGAAATCTGTTACAACCTGAAAGGGGGGCAGAGTGCTGTGGGGTTGAACAAAATCAGTGTGCCACTCGGCCTTGTTGATGTCATGGTGCCTGGGGGAATGAGAAGCAATGTTAACCATAAAAATACACAGATGACTGCAAAGTGTCCAAATGCAGTGTTTGACTGATGACATTGTGGCCTGATAGGACTGCCAGCCAATACAAATGAAACGGAAGGATTAGTTGGAGTAAGGAATAAAATAAAACTTTATTACGCTATTATGCAAATATGGGCTGCCAACCACAGGCTGAGTGTAGCAGGAAGCTTCAATTTCACAATACCCAAAGGGGTACGGTAGAAATAGAGAAAGTTCTGTGAGGGAAATGGTATTCAATGGCTTTGTACTAGAAGGCATGTATTTGTTAGGGATGCCTTTCCTAGAAGACAGAAATTCAGTGGAAATACGACAAAGTTCTGCAACGTTGTATGTGTTGTGTGGAATGTTATTAATGAGTTGCTAGCTTCTCATAACTTAAGTATTTCCTTAGGAAAACTGGAGTGAGAAAAGATTGGGTACTATGAAATATAAAGTTTAAAATTTACACTACGAACAACCATCTTATAAAAGATTTAAATAGTGGGACTCATTACTAAATAGTGCATAAGATTTGAAAATGAGCTGATAAGTCAATGGATCACAGAATCATTTGCAGCTATTAACCACTGATATGCAACCTGCAGCTTGGGGAAGCCCATAATATAATCTGATAAATGTAGAGAAGACAAATCAGAACAGGAAATAATTCTCTACTGTACTGGTTTGGCAGCAATTAATTTCAAGCCACAGCTGGAAATAGAAGACAGGTATTTGGTCTGACTTACTGGGTCGGTTCAATATTTGATTCCAGAATTTCAAAATTACTTAGCTTTCTTCTATAGGTGTTTATACTGCTGTGAAGGTTTCCAGGTCAACTAGGTCTGTGATCATTCTAAAAACAACAGGCACAGGCTACAGAGCTTGTGCTTGGAGGACCATGATGTGTGGGGCTCATGTCCTTTCTCTTCCTATGGCCCACCATCCTCTATGTGCAGGATGCATGGTTATCTTCTAAGCATGAGGGGCTGCTACCTGGTGCTAGGACTGACTCTCTGATCTTTGATGTACTATAGGAAGAAGCAGATCGCAGTTTCTTACAAATTCATCTCCAGTGTCATGCACTAAAGAATATGCCCAGCTCTGTTGCCACTTTCCCCAGCACTGTGTTGGGAAGTGGGGATGTGCAATGCCTGTGGTGTAGCTGCTGTTGACACTTCTTAGGAGCGAAATTCGGGATGAAGAACACTTCATCTGAAGCCTAGTGGCTTCCTACCAGACAGGAAATAAATTAGTTCAGGACAGACAGTAAAATAACAAGGCAGTGTTTTTTCTCCTCTTTTCTGTCAGTGAAGAGTTGGGGGGAAAAAAAAAAAAAGAATCCTGGGGATATCACCTGTGAGCAGAAGAATATAAAATATCTTTTTGAAGAGCTGTAATGCTCTGCTTTGTAGGAGAACCACCCTTGGCTACCAGATCACATGGTATATTTTTCCTTCTGAGTTTACTGGTAAAGTTTAAATTTTCCAGGAGTTAGGGAGTCAAATACTGTTGATAAAGACATAGAATACTAGTGCATTACAGCAGTGTCTGAAACTACTGGCATCTCCCTCCTGAAGTAGTATTTGGGAAACAGACAACAGCTTCCTGAAATCATCATTACCATTCCACTCTGCCCAGAAAAATGTTTTGGATTAGCACATAGGGCCAGCATTTCACCTCCTGTAATGCATGTGTAGGACAAAAAGGCGGCTTGCATGTCTATATAATTTCTGGTGAGAGATGAGTTTGTCTGAAATTCATTAATTGGAAAAAATGATAGTAATTAAATGATGGATGATGCATCTGACTAATTCTTAATGGAAATTTACCTTGTATATGAAATACACTTATGTATTTTATATCTTCTTATAGTTATGCTGATACACTATTGTCTATTAAGTCAGAGGCTTCATCTCAAGGCCAAGATTATTTAAGCTGGAATGATATCCAAAACTGCATTGACATGGTTAATATGCAAATTCAAGAAGAAAATGAAAGTAAGTAATTCTTCCTCTACATCACTGGCAGAGATGGTACTCTATTCCTTTGGACACAAAAATTCAGTGCTGAATGGCCTTGTACAGACTCTGATCAAGAGAGAAGACTTATATAATTTTGAATGACTATTGGTCTTTAAATCTGTTTGAAGTATTTCTGGTTGTACTATGGATGGCTGAAAGACATCCTAGGATGCCTGCCTTTGGCAGCATTATAAATGCTGTGGTTCAGAACACTTGCAATTTAGTGTTTGCACTGGATGTTGGCACTTAAAAGATTTTGCAGAAATTCTAAACTATTGTGTTATTGAAGAATAGAGTTGGAAAAGAAAAGCAGCATCCTGTGTAGAACTGTTATAGTTAAATGATTTCTAAGCCCTTGTTTTTCACCAGAGAATTGGTAGGAATTTATGCAGTGCAACTATCCGTCATGATCTCAATTAAAATAATTAGATTTATCTAAAAGAATGGTTTCTTGTGCTCGCTCTTTCAAATATAAATGGTTTTGGGGAATATTTCTTTCAGCTGAATGTGACTGTATGGCCCTATAAGGGTGGTGTTAAATGTGGTACCTGGTCATTTGGTGTTCAAAACTGCTAAAGGACTGAGACTCTCCACTGGATATAGAAGCATGATATTTCTAGTAAAATTTGAGGCTGTTAAGTGCACTTGCATAGTGCATTGTGCACTCTTGTAGCATGGGCCCAGCAGGGTGGTATGTGAGCAGTTGTAGGTTGTCCTGCATTAACAGTCAGTCTTTACTGGTGAGATAGCTTAGCTGCACTTGGTTTCAGTGACACCGGTCTCTGCCTGGAAATGGTTACTGGGGCAGAGAGGGCAGGAAGAAGGCTGTCATCACTTTCCGTAAGTAAATCTGCATGCCTGACAGTTCCTGATTTGGTGACACCCAGAAAAATTGTCTGTTCTGGAAATGTTAGGTGTTATGAAAGAATGGATCCATGACCCACCAGCTGTGGTGGGCATGGGAGAGATGTGGTGTCAGATGTGGTGGCAGCCACTAGTGAAGATGTCATATCTCACAGGTGATGGGGAACCCTCAACCAGTGCCTTTCTGGAGTAGAATGGCTTTAGGGAGACAGCACCCCCAAGCAGTGTATTTCCAGGCTGTTTGGGAGTAGGAATAAACTGTGATGTTAAATGTTGAAACCAGTCTTGACAACTGAAGGAAATGAATCACAGGTTTTATTAAATAATTCACATGATGTGGCTGAAGTTTGGAGTGCCACAGGTCTATGGGGAAAAAAAAAATAAAAATATCTTGAGATCAGTGTTATCTGTTTGGCTAATTAAGGTGAAATTTAAAGAAATTAGGGTATGGTCCAGCATAATGTTGTAGTTTGCAGATCAGTATGTATGTATTTGTTGTTGTAGTTTGCAGATCAGTATGTATGTATTTGTTGAAACAGGGGTTCCAACTAATCTGGTCCAAAATCACATGATTTTTGAGTGTCTTTCAGCATTGTCAGCAAATATGTTGGTGCACACATAGATGTGGTGTCCAGTATTTCTTTAAGCTTCATGTAGGTCTTCCTTCCCTGCACGTAAAGGAAGTCAATTTTCCCTTTTTTTGGTAAGGATTGATTTGGCTTTAATGGAAAGGTAGATTCAGAGAAATGAGTACGTGTGGCAGAAAGGAGACCTGTACAACTTAATAGCCTCATTTGAGTATCTGAGCAAAAAAAAAAATTTAAATCACTTGCTGTTGCTGCCTCTGCTTCTTGTTACTTGATTTTTCTTTGCTTTGTGTTACTACTTCGTTTGTATGTGAAACATGACAAGATATATCTTTATTTGACAACTTCATTTGTAATAACCATTTTATTTCATAGGAATTATTGCAATTGGCCACATTAACGAAGCAATTGACCAAGGAAATCCTGAGAAAACCTTAGAAACCCTACTTATGCCCACAGCCAAGCTGCAAGATGTGAGACCAGAAAATGCAAAGCATTATCAAGATGTTTTGTACCACGCCAAAGCACAGAAATGCAAGGTTAGAGCTTGGACTGTTGCATCTGTCAGAACTGAAATGTCGATTCTTTTTCCTTCATGTCCTGTTCCTCCAATGTTTTGATTAGTTGTGCTAACAGGGTGGTAAATAAGCCAGTGACAACAATCTGTCACTGAATAATTTTTGAATACAACTTTTTCTGACTGACATAAAGGATTAATTTTCAGTCAATTAATACTAAGATATATTCTGCATCTGTTATGTTTTTCTGCAAGGATTGAGTTACAAGACTGTCAGGCAGGTAGTTATTGTGCAGGCAGGAATTGTCTTTTTTGCTACTAAGTATTCAGTCATGCTGAAGAAGTCATTGTTTAACAAACCTCTAAATAGTACTTTGAGGAGCCTTTTGTTGCTTAAATCTGGGGGGGTTACACTAGAGGAGTCTTGTGCTTATTTCTGTTCTGCCTTTGTCATGCAACAAAATGCTGGCCATCATGTACAATGCCTTCAGCTTCAACCTATCTCAGCAGGATACTGATATCTGCTTCCTCAAAAGCAGTGCCCTGGTTAACATCACAGCTCAGGGAAACATAAACACAGATCAGCCTCACAACTTGCAGGATGTGACTGAATGCAAGATTAGCTAAAACTCGTGGTACAGCATTTCATTTTTCCTGCTGTTTGAAAAGATGCCTAAAATTTACATATGTTCCTAATGTCAGCTGGAGAAATTTATTGCTATTTGGCTTGTAAAAATACCCTCCAGCTATCTTGTCACTTCACCTGTGGTATCTGCTATGAAATTGTGCATTTCTGTAAGCCACAGCTTTTGAACTTGGTGCTGTACATCTGATTTTTTTTACTTAGGTTCCTATGTAAGCTCTGGTTTCACTGAGCGCTGGATCCTGAAAAGCCTTCCCCTTGCTGTATGCTGTTCTTATTGTGTGTTTTTAGACTTTGACAACTACTTAAAACATCTTCTCTTTTTTTCCCACAAGAAAAAAAACAAACTTCAAGAATCCAACTTGAAAAAGCTGTTCTTTCAGCCTGTGGCACTATTTGGAATATCTTGAGCATCTGCAAGATGTAGTTTTTGGATAGATGAATTCAGTTCTTCCAAATCTTTTTTTCTCATGATTAAAAAAAAAAAAAAAACAATCTCCATGTTTATGGAGAAAGCAGGACCACTGTACAAATTCCCAAGAGAAATATTCGGATATATTAACCTGAGTTACTATTCTAACTACTGACTAATGACATGGATATCACCTTTCTTTAAGAAAAAATATGATTTATACATGTATTGAACTTCCTCTTATAAAAAAAAAATATATCAAAAAGTCAAAGTTTGTGCAATAAGTCTTTTTCAACCCCATGCTTTTTCTGAGTCCTATTTATAAAGCAGATCTGTCTTTAATTGTATTTAAGATGTTTTAAGAGTGAGCTGTGGCATAAGGAAGTACTTGATTTACAACAATCAGATAGATCTGAGTGTGAACTTCCTATATTCCCAAGTGTCTCAGAAAACATATGGGTCTGAACTTCTGGCTTATTCTAATCATCCCATTGTCACATCCCCCCAGTTGTGGTGACCTTGGATAAGTAAAATCTGCACCAAAAACTCCCAGTTCCTATTGTGGCTCTTAATCACAGATCACACCTACTTGTTCTTTGCTTGAAGAAGAAAATGAAAATGTGGAATTTTATTCCTGTAACTTCATACAATAGCTTCTAACAGCTCTCACAGTTGCTTCAAGCAAAGTGTGTTCAAGCACCAGCAAAGAGAGCCTATGTTTAGGAAGTGTTACTTCTATGTGGAATGTTAAACAGATGTACCATACATTTGCATGCTTCCTGAGTTTTGTTATTTTGAGTGATAGCTATGCAGGTTTTACAGTTAGGTTAGCAAGTTTGATGTTTGTAATTAATGAGTAACACCTGGGTTATTTTAAAGTTATCCTGAAGTTACTTCGAGGGAAGGGCATGATTTTAACTAATGTAAATTAGGAGCCAGGAGAAATTGAAGAGGTAGAACCTTACCAGACTGGACATTTCTTGGAGTCAATTTCTATTTTCCCCTGCAAATGGCTTTATTTTTGAGTAAAGTTTCTTACAATACTATTATCAGACAGATGTAAAACACTTTTTTTTTTCTCATCACTGTCTTACATGGTTCGGTTACAAACATGTACACCAGCTGAGCTCGTTTGTAGGAACTTATACTCAGTATATGTAGATATTGAGTTTCTGTAAATGTCAAGTTAATTCTTTGCTTTATGAATGTGGACAATTAATCACAATTTCCTTAAGGAAATGTAACACATTTTCTGTGAGGATGTGAAAATATACAGAATGCTACAATGTAGCTTCCCTGTTTTGCTTACCAAGCAAGAATAAAACTTGCCTGGATTCACACTGATAAGGGTTAGCTTCCAGCTGTCCTTGAGGGTTATAGGAGTACAGGTGCTGACGCAGTGGAAGAACAAGTCTACAGAGCAAAGCTGGTTGAGCAGCCTCAGAGGAGATGCTTCCTTGGAAGTGTGTCAGGTTCCGTGTCTATAGCTGTAGATTCATTGCTCTTCCAGCTGAATGGGATTCCAGCTCCTTATTTTTAACATCCAGTGCAGATTTGCTGTTGGTTGTGTGACAGGGAGCTTCTGCAAAGTTCTATGGCCCCTGAACACCTAGAAAGTGCTTTTACTTGTCCATGTTCCCACCAGACGAAAACCTTCTGTTCACTTCACTGTTCCTGCAGTGAATGTGAGCACAGAGATCGTATGAAGTCTTTGGAAGTCATGAATGGACCTAAAAGTGCTATTCAGATATGGATTCCTCTTCTGTTCAGAGGCTGTGGTGACTGCTATTATAGTTTCTTCTCTATAGTGGCCATAAAAGTGATCTTCCCAGAAGAAAATGGAGATGCTCAGCCACATCCCTGAATCTTGGTACACCAAATGTTGTAACACACATGATAAAATTAGAGTTGGAGAAGAGTATTTCTGAAGATGCTTCTTTGTGTGGTGTTTGGAAAGATGTAAATTTTACTGAGATCATGGTTTAACATCCTTAGATTTTTTTTAGGTTTAATTGTTGCATGTGAGGTTTATTGCTACCTGGGTTAGTAAATATACAAAATCATAATTCCAACAATATAGAAACAAGTTTATGCTTCCCTGGATATTTTAACCATCGTTAGGTAAATATTGGATTGGCTTCTGATTTTGGACATCAGAAAATAAAGGAAAGGATCAAGACAACTGTTTAAGCTGCTAAGACATAAAGCAATTAGATAAAAAGAATACAACTCATCTGTGTTATAATAGTAATAGTTGATATGATGGATAATAAGAATAATATTGCTTGGTACAAAGCAAATAGTGAAGATGGTAAGGATCAAAAGACTGACTTTAACATACCAGAACCATTCACGTGTTTTGAGTGTTCGTATGATTGAGACATAGCAGAAAATTATGATTGCAAGAGGTATTAAAAATCCAAAGATAACTAAAGAAACATAGTAGTAAAACTGGAAGGAAGATACAGTTTCACAAGCATTGTGCACATCATGGCAGGTGTAAATTCCCAGTTGTTTCACATAATAGCTCTGCTGCATTATGCAAAGTGGGAGCATGTACAAGAAAACGATGGTCCACACAGTAACACAGACCATAGTGGCATAAGTACGTTTCGGCAGGCTTTTGTAGGTGAAAGGGTGAACAATGGCCACATAGCGGCTGACGCTGATGCACGTGAGCAGCAGAATAGAGCAGTACATGTTGCCATAAAACACCACAGTTGTGGTTCGGCACATCATTTCTCCAAAAATCCAGTTGTTCCCATTGATGTGATATGCTATTTTGAATGGCAGCATGATGCAGAAGAGCAGATCTGAAATAGCCAAGTTTGTGTAGAGGATGGCAGTGCACACAGATCGGATCCTGAAGATCAGCATCCACAAAATGATGGCATTAGATGGTACACCTAATAAAACAGCGCTGAGGTAGACAGTGGGTATCAGCTTGGTGCTCAGAGAACTTGTCAGGTACTCTAATGTGGTGTTGTTTACTTCTGTTAAAGTGGAGTCATTGGACTTTTTTGAAGAGCTTTTGTTTTCTTTGATGTGGATGGTCTTTGTTTCCCCTTCTATAGCATGAGGGGGGATGTAATCGTAGTCTCTTGCTGAAATTCCACGGAAAGTCTTGATAAGAGACACGGTTTTAACTGCGGAGCCATTCAGTGAAGATTCTGAAGCTTAAAGTTAATATTGTTAAAATAGGCAAACTACTGGATTAGGAATACAACTTTCAGGTAAGGAGAAAGGCAAGCCTTTCCTTGTGAAAAACAATCTCCATTTAGAAAGTTTGGTAGGGTTCTTTGTTGCTTTAAGTTAGCATCTCAAATGTGCTCAAGAATAATCTTTGCTTTATTAGTAATTTCAACCCCGTTCTTTAAAATTTAGTGTAAATTTAATGTTGAATTGACTTTTCTGAATACTAGGTGTTTTCAGTCTTCAGCAAAACGTCCCATTTGTGCAATGTTTGTCACCTGTAAAGGTTTTTGTCACGTAGCAGCAATGTTGGTAATTTATGATAAAAGCTGATCAAGTCTTAGTGCAGGTTACCCTTGTCACTTAGTGGATGAAATGCATGACTGCAAAAAATGAAAAAAGAACTGCCTTGCTTAACAGGGGCTGAAAATTTCAAATTATGAGAAAAAATCATCTCATATACCAAATTAAGTTGCTATTTTGTATTTTTCATCTTCTGACTAAAGCAAACCAGACTATTCTTTTTCTTATACATGAAAGAAATGCAGTTACTCCTGAAACTTACTTTGGGCTGATATTAGATCAAGCTTATTGGTATGAGTAAAATTTTTCATGCAGCAGGAATAGTCTCCATCAGTAAATATAACAGATGTGAGTAAAGCCACTGATGCTGGTTACCTTTCTGATTCTTAGTGGCTGAATTTTAAAGACATTAACATTTATAGATGAAGTATGAATGTGCTCAATGCATGGTATCAAAGTAACTTGTAAAATACCTTTTGCAGAACGAATGGCAGCTTAATGAATTTTGTTATTCAAAAAATTTCTTGCTTGGTTGTGCTTAATGCCAAAAAACTTCACACAAAGCATCAGGCACACATCTTGAATCTGGAATTCAGAAGTGAACTGAAATTTGGATGAAAACCTGTGAAAACCTTTTACCATTCCAAACTGGAACGGAACATGGAAAACAGCTTTAACCATGATTAATTTTTTGTAACTGGTAGATTTATGGTAGAAAACTTTGAAATTATAATCAGTAGCCTGCATCCATTTCAGTAACTTTCTGGATGGTTATTCCCGGGAAAAAAAAAAAAAAAAATGTTGCTCTTTAAAATGTTTGTATATATTATTGCATAACAAAAAAAAAAGCAATAACAAAAACTTAGTTTGAAAACAGGTCTAATTTTAGTAAGGAAAAGAGTTGGGCTTGATCACGTCCTTAAGTTATGTTTGTCAATAATTATCTGAGATTTTTCCTTCTAATAACATAGTCTGAATCTGTAATCTTGCTGAACACTTTAAAACAGAAAGAACGTGACTTTACAGGTTTGAGCATTGTATCACTACAGAAACATTAGAAGATGTGTTTTTAGTAAGGGCAGAAAGATCGCTTAAATAATTCCTCATTAGTGACTGAGGAAAGCGAAAGGTAATCCAAGGTGTCACTGAAAGGAAACAGTAAAAGTCTGTCTAAAGTAAGCTTTTCTGGAGTGTAATAATGTCATGATGTGTACAGTCCATTTAAGCCAGTAAAGCACCAAAACCTCAAAAGCAAATATCAATTAAAACAGAGTACATGCAGAAAGGAGGACTCACCTGTAGTAAAAAGACTTGAGGTAAGAGAGAGAAGTCCAGTGAAAACCAGTATCTTCATCGTAGTATGCTAAATCCGGATATATATAAATATAAAAAAAAAAAAAGGTAATATTGTTTTAGTTCATCTCAAGATGTGTTTTTGAGAGGATATTCTTCCTTCTGTTAGGGTCTAAAGAGTAATTGATCTGTTGTCCAGAAGCATCCTGTAGGCATGAGATTTATGGTGCGGATCTAGTTTGTTCTTTGTCTACTAGTAAGAGGGTGTGACGTATCCAAATATGCACACATGACTCAGTTTCAGCCTCTGCCCAACACTGAGATTAAATTGCTTTACAGCAGCAATTTAACTCTTAATTTACCACAACCCTGATTGTGGGAGAGGAGGTTCTGCTGGAATATGTATGTACAGGTATCTGGGGAAAACAGTATTTTCTGGGAAAACCGAAGGCTGTTTACTTAAACGTTCAGAGGTCTCATCCAAAGACTAAAATTCTGTATTGCTGAACTCTGTACCCTTCTTGGGGAGAGGCCAGGTGTTGGGAAGAGAGTAGTGATCTTGGTTTAGCAAATGTAGCGGTGAAAGCAAGCCACACATACACGGTTTTCTGAAGGCATGTGTGTACTGCCTCAGCCCCTCCCTACCCACCCAGCACAAGCAGCCTGTGCTCCTGTGACGGCATTCCACCCCAGCTGCCTGCTCTTTCCAGACAATTCCCACCCATCACACACTCTGGAACCTTTACCCCATTTTCATTTGCTGTTTTTGTTGATCCCTTCTTCCTCTGTTATTTTTTTCTTGAATGCCAGAAAACAATGGCTTTCTTCCAGCAGAGAAAATTAGTGTGAGTCCTGGTCTGGGTTCCAAGCTAGTGGCAAGGTTCAACATAAGCAGGACTTGGCTCCAGAACAAAAATTGTGTCTGTTTTTGTATTTAGTGTGTAGAAATTGGACACCAGATAAGGATTGCGAAACTGAAAAGAATTCCTTTCCTATAAATCGTCAGTTGTATTTTGTATGTGCTCTCTCTCATGTTAACCCTAAATTGCAGTGTACATCCACTGTCATGCAACTGCCTGATACTGGTTGATTTTATTTAGATATTTTGCTTATGTGTTTGTTTGCATATAATAGAAAGAGAGGAGTCTTTGTCTTGCAATTTTTACCCTCTTTTCTTTACCCCCATAATTTCTGCAGATAACAGGTTTATTGGATTTCTGGCCGAGAGTTGGTCCCTGTTACAATGGCATCCATTGTGAAGTTGTTTGTCCCCACAAAGTGTTTGACCTTGAGACCCTTTTTGGCTTTTATTTTCTGAAGTATTTGTGTGTGTACATACTTGTGTATCTTCATTAAACCAATACATTGCTGTTTCTCTCATCTATTATAGATATGACATTCTTCTTTCCTCTCTAGAAAGAACCTGGTGTAACCCAGAGCTCCACTGGGGCCTGTCCATGCCTCCTTTGTGCCCACAATTCTTGGTGTAAACTTGTCTCTGACTGTTTTAAGCTGATTAATGCCCACATGCTTCTGGACAGCAGTCCTGTCAATTGTAGTCATAGGCCGAAACTAGCAGAATTAAAAGGATTGTTTTGTACCAAGCACCCTCTATTTTAACTTGGGTACGACGTCATCAAGCGTGTAGATGATGAGACCTGCTCTGCCACTTAACTCCTGAAATATTTGCCACCTGAGCTAAGTCGTCTTTGTTAAACCTGAGTTGCCTTTTTATGCCATCTTTTGCTTTTATTTTCTTATGTAACCTTTACTCAGGTTTACAGCCTTCCCATATAAGGGATTTGGGTTGAATACCAACTTCCTGCATTCTCCTTTGTGCTCGTAGTGCTGGCTAATAACATTTGGATATACGTAATGCTTTATTTAATTGATTTATTTAATTACATTGCTTATACATTATGGAAATTGAAACAATTCCAGCTCTGCTCAAAATCTTACTCACCTTTAGCAGGATGGAGTCTTTTACATGTGAAAGCTTTGAGAACTTTTATTGAGCAAGAATTTATTCTAGTCACTAAATGGAGTATAACTTGTTTTATTGCTCCTTTTAAGTGGTAAAATTATTTTTAATGCCCGAGGGCTTTGCAAGGGAAGTCTGTGTATGAGCTCTCTCTGTATATTCAGACACTTCTATAATTCAGTTCTCATAAGGCTTTTATCTGTCCTTTTTACAGGAAACCCAGGATGAATCAGCGGTGCTATGGCTGGATGAAATACAAAAGGGAATCATTGATGCCAATAACAATATAAAAGAAGCTGAAATCTGTGAGCATTAAGCTGCATCTTTATTCCTCTTGTTCTTCTTAGTCTGGAAAAAGTGAAATTTTCAGTATTTTTTTCTCCACTTCAGGGAAGAGTGGCATCTTTTATATATGCTGACAGAAACAAATACATGTCCTTTGTCATGCTGAAGTTAGGGTGACTTAAATTTGGAAAACTTTGTTGGCTTTGCAGTGGTAAATCTTGAAGTTCAGTTAATAATTTAGTGGGTGTGGTTATATAGGTTAACATGATCAAGATTTACAGTGTCAGTGTAATTTCCTATCACTTTTAAAACAGAAGAAAATGATAACAGGAAGACATGCAAATTCTTAAATGTTTATAACTTCACTTATTTCAATATGGTATCTTCTATTAAGTGCTAACAAATAAAAACTACTTTGGGCCAGCACAGATCTGTCAAGGTTGCCAGCTTGAGTTTCAGGGCTGGGTCACCTCTTGCTTGAGTTGGCTGTGGTGGGAGAGGAGGTGAACAGCTTGTGTGAGCGAGTCTGCAGCACTTTCTTTTGCATCCTGAGAAGTTGTGGAATACAGTTGCTTAACTTGATGTGCTCCTGCAGTGCTGCACTCAGCCTTCAGTAAAGTACTGCTGTCATTTGTTTACTTATAGGCATGCTTTGTCAGTAGTTAGTTCTTTGAAAGTTGTGGGTGGAAGAAAAAAACAACAGCCAGGTATTACAAAACTAAATCTTCTATCCCTGCTACAGAACCAGTGAACTTAATGTTACTGTTTCAGAGTTGATTTGCAGTTCTAATTCAATCAGACAGATGTACTGAAAACACATGAAGGATTTTCATTGGTCACACATCTGTGAAAAGCATCTTGTGTTTTCTGAGGCAGGGTTAGATGCACATATGTTGTCCAAACTGAGCTGTTGTACTCGGAGGTACTGATACCCATTTTTTTCCACAAAAGAAGGTTCATTTCAATGCCACCCAGAGGCGTGAGAAAGCCTGAGGAAACATCTGAGCTCAGAGAAGGGAAGGAAATGCATAGCTTATAAACAGATGTGAACTAAAGCTAAAGAGTGACTTGAAAATATGTTTTTGTCTACTGCTGTAAGACCTTTAAATGTGTCGCATAAATTGCATACCTAAATTAGTTCAGCGTTATGCATATACTAGTACCATGCATGTTGAAAAAGACAAGCTATTGCTTTACCTAGTAGTTGTTTCAGTAAAATCTTCACGTAATCAATGCCACCATTTTTGTAGCAAATGTGCAGCTTTTCATAATCAAGTATGATCAGTAGAACTATTTTAACAAGTCCCTAGTGGAAATAACTACTAATCTCCTGTACTGTGCCCTCTGGGTTGAAACAAAGCAGTGTCAGCACAGCACATTCTTCAGAAGTGCTCTAACATTTTGGAGCTAAAAACTGAGATTTAAAACTTCCCCACGGCACAGAACCTGGTACTCGCTATAATGAAAGCATCCTGTTTCAGGAAGTTAACGTGTTATGTTCACATAGATTAAATTTAGAAAACTCAACTCATTCCCAACTTGGAAATTAATTTCCATTTCAATCTATCCCAGATAAGCTATTTTTGAAAGGCAGACAATCCCCTCCCTACCACAAAGCTTGTGTACAAAAGTAAAGGCAGCATAAAATGGTTTTGTTTCGGTTAGGACAAAATGTGTATTTTGAGATAGCTGCAGTAATGGCAATAGCAGTCAAGTAAGAGGAGGTACTGACAGCTATACTGGAATCATCTTGATCCTTTTCCAAATCATTTTAATGCTTTGTAGAAGTATTAAATACTACAATATTAAAACTTTGATATGGCCTTTATAAAATGCCTGTCCTGTCAGTAAAGGACTATCTTGTACCTTCCTTTAGGAAGACATGTTCAGTAAAGACTTTTGTGCTTCCTAATTCTTTGTGGTGTTTGCTGTGGAATTTGGCTTATCTTACTTTGTGTCTTGAATCAGCTCAACCCCTGTACTCCTTGTGCAAGAAGAGATCAAAACAAGATTGGCAGAACAGTAGCTGTATACCATGGCACCCTTCAGGAAGAGATAACAGTGCAGACCTTCAGCTTTGCATAGGAAGGGGCTGTGAAAGCAGGATCTGCCTCTTGAGAGCTGTGTTATAGAAAAGAGCTGATCTTTGGCCCTGCTCAGAGTTCAAGCTTATCACGGTGGGCAGCTGCATCTTTGTGTATCTTAGTTTCTTGGAGGGAGGATAGATGTGGAAGAGCCTTTTGCAGTGCTCATCTGCTTCTGAGATCCTGATTGCTGCAAGAGCAGGTCCATGTGCTGAGAGCCTGCCCCCCTCCTGCAGTCAAGGATAGCTAAATTTCACATATCTCATAATTTCACAAGGACACATGGTCCCTTCCTTAGAGCAGCAGCAACAGAATGAAGTGTTACTACACCAGTACAATTTCTATTGCATTGGTGTTTTTCCCCACTATTTTTTCTTATGCTTTTATTTTAGAAGAAAAACATAATTAGTTAATAGATGAGGAGAAAAATCCAGGCAGCGCGGGATCTACAGAAATAACTGTAAGCTAGGTTGTGTGTTCTTTTGTCTGTATAGCAATAGTTTCCAGCATCTCTAACTAGAGGACAAAAAGGAGAGAGAAAAATATTCAAATACTGGTGACCAGAGCTGAGGTGGATGGTCTCTCTACTGTTGCTGAGCACCTTTTGTGGCAGTTGTGGGTGGAAAAATATGTGTAGGTCAAGCAGTGAACATAGAGAGGGACCTTTCTTGTATTGATCCAGGTACACACAAGGAAAAGTGCTTGGTGCTGTAGTCTGAAAAGCAGCTGTCGCAAGCAAAATTACCTGAATTCATTTAAGCAAGGATATACTACAGATATTCTGTCTGTGTGTGTCTTTTCACTTGTTCCTTGGTGCATGCATCTTGAATTTAGATGTTAAGGAACACTATTTAAGATCAGAGTAGTGGTTTCTAAGCAGTGCTGCATATAATTTTATTGTGTAAGGCACTTTGAAGTGTGGTGTATTGCTACATCTTGTCGGGGTGGTGTTATCACCCCTCTGACCATGAGACCTGCACAAAGAAAAGGACACTTAAGCCCTGATCTGGAGCTTCATGTAACTTAGAAGTCTGACCATGTCTCACAGCATTGCTTTTATATGCCCTGAAACCAACTCTTCATTGCTGGCAAACTCAAGGGTGTAGCCTCATCAGCTTTAGACAAGCTTCAAATTTAAGGGGATGATGATGAGGAAGGGTTGCTTGGGGATCGTGACTAGGGTGTTGGCACAGTGTTGCAAAACTTTGCTCACGACAAATGAAATTTATTCTGATTTTGCACAGTAAAACTGAACAGTTTATAGCTTGTAATGCAATGACCCACTGCATCTCTATCAGGCTCCTGAGTGATATTCTGCTTTATGGGCCCACTTGTTGGGCAGGCTAAGTGAGAAAACCTGTCATCCTCAGCTACTGCCCCAGGTGTTCTTTGGTGTCCCACCTGATGGGGAGCAGTGCTGCCCTCAGAGCACTCTGTCATGCTGTGACTACATCCCTGCCTGGGTGCAGGGCACGCTTTCTAACGAGCCTGCTGTTCTCTGAAATACTCTTCCTTAAAAGCACACAGGAGTCTACAAAGAGGTGAAGCACTGGATTGCTGTGTGCAACCATCCCAGATGTCCATTATCAAAGTTGCTAGTGGTTAGCATTGTGGGTATGTAGAGTACAACACTTAATTTTCTCCCTCATTGTTTTTCCCTAGTG